CACCTCATGCAGCCCACACCTCCACCCGGCCCCTGATGGGAGCCGCGCATGTGCAAGACACTGAACCTGAGTCTGACCCGGGCCCCAGCTGCAGCCCAGCCCTGGTCAGAGGGGCCACAGAACGGGAGAGAGGCACTGCTTGGCCCTGCCTGTGGCAGGCCGGAAGCCACGGGGTGGGGCAGCTCGGGGTTCTTTTTTCTTTTTTTCTTCCTTTATTTTAATTATTTATTTACTTATTTTTAAGATTTTATTTACTTATTTGACAGAGAGAGACACAGCGAGAGAGGGAACACAAGCAGGGGGAATGGGAGAGGGAGAAGCAGGCTTCCCGCTGAGCAGGGAGCCCGATGCGGGGCTCGATCCCAGGACCCTGGGATCATGACCTGAGCCGAAGGCAGACGCTCAACGGCTGAGCCACCCGGGTGCCCCTCTTTATTTTATTTATTTAAATTCAATTAGTAGAGCGTAGTATTCGTTTCAGAGGCAGAGGTCAGGGATTCATCAGTTGTATGTAACACCCAGTGCTCATCCATCACGTGCCCTCTGTAGCGCCCCTCATCCAGTTACCCACCCCCCCACCCCCCTGCTCGGGGTTCTTAGGGACACTTGCTTTTTCTTGAGTTTTAATAAAACTTGAAAATTCCAGCCTGTCGCAGCTCTGCTGAGAGAAGAAGGGAATGGCATTTTTCCCAAGTCTGACACGGAGGGACAGGGAAGTAGTGCGTTATCTTGAGGCCCGCAGGGTGGCGCCAGTAAAAACATGCATAAGAGGACTCCGTCCTTCCAGTCGGCCCTCTGTCCTCGCTGCTTTCCCATGACGCGACGTCACATGCATGGCTCTTAGCGGTTGACGCCACCCCCACGCCCGATACACAGATTTCTAACAGCTGTGGGGAGTCTCCCTGGTGACTTAATGACCTGAGTTTCTTTGGTGGTTTGCCACATTTCCACCGGAGTTCCAGGTCCCCTTGTCCCTCTGCTTCCCTAAAAGAAAGTATAGCTTTGCCACCCTGGAATGTTCTTTCATCTTCTACTTCTGAGTAATGACTTAAAAACAATGAAAAACACCTGGTAAAATAAAAACAAGTTTAGATAATTCCGTTTATACCAGGAGTTAAAAGATGCCTTGTAGGCCCACACTGAGATATTTGCGTTTAGCTTCTCCATAGCTGGTGGTGTCTGGAGTCCCCGGGTGCTGTTCTCTCCTCCCCCGCACCCCCCCCCCCGGATCCACGCAGAAGCCCCCACCAACCTCAGCCTTCCCTCCCTATAGGACCTCTTCTCGGCCCTAATCAAGGGCCCCACTCGCACCCCCTACGAGGATGGCCTCTACTTGTTTGACATCCAGCTCCCCAACATCTACCCAGCCGTGCCCCCCCACTTTTGCTACCTCTCCCAGTGCAGTGGCCGCCTGAACCCCAACCTGTATGACAATGGGAAGGTGTGTGTCAGCCTCCTGGGCACCTGGATTGGAAAGGTGAGTATAGTGCTGACCAGCCCGGGTGGAAGAACAGCTGGTCGGGGGCGGGTGTCTGGGGCAGAGGTGATCGTGCTGGCTGTGTGTGTTTCAGGGGACGGAGAGGTGGACGAGCAAATCCAGCCTTCTCCAGGTGCTCAT